GCCGGTCCGTGGGCGGCTCCTGTGGCAGGAGGAGGGGCTGGAGCACGTGGAAACAGGTCAGGTGGCACGTGGCCCACAGCTTGCCCGCTCTGGCACAGCCAAGCTCCTCCTTAACTTCCCTTTTCTGCTAGAGACACCCACCGGAGAGAGAGCTCCTGTCAGGGCAGCCAGGGCGTGGGGTTAGGACAGCTGCGTCCCGCGTGGCCGCCTGCGTGGTTAAAGTCTGTGTCCGTGTGAGTCTGAAGTTACCACTCCCACGGGCAGGGAATCCTCTGCCAAATAATTTTTAAAAAATAGTTCAAGATACAACTTCCTGGGCCCCAGGAGAAGGTCAATCGCAAAGCTACGTTCTAGAGAAACATCCACACCTGAGGGGGCTGGGAATCCCTCGGGGAAATATTCTTGGCTGAAAATGACCTTACATTAAAATGTCTAAGCCACAAGGGAAGCAGGACCCGTGGCCGATGCAGAGCCTCCACAGCAAAGGCACTGGCACTTCGGCCCCGAAAGACACGTGGCTTGGGCCCGCGGAAGCCTCAGGGTTAAAGAAAGGCGTGTTCGGACGAATGCAGCACCGCAGGAAAGTGGACCAAATTTACAGATTCGATGAAGAGCTAAACAGGGCTTTCAGAAATTAGGAAACACTGCAATTAAAATTAGGGTGGCCGTCAGGAAGTCGCAGACCCAGGTTTGTCGTGGGCACGTGAGTGCATCGGTACGTTGTCTGTCCTCGTCACTCCAGACCACGCCGCCCAATGGCACCACAGCTGTGCGCAGTACACACCACCGTGGGTACAGACGGGGCACAGTGACTTGCCACCAGACCCGCAGACTGACCGCAGGTTGGCTGAGAAGGAAGGCTTGATTACCAGCGACTCCCCCCTGGACGGGGAGTGGGCATACTCAAGACTACCTCCCTGGGCCCGCCTGTCGCCCAGTAGGTGAGAGCCAGATCCCAGCTGGCTCACCATGATGCGAACCCTAACCCTGGTAGCCTGAAACACACCGAGCACGTGTGTGCCCAAGTCCCCATCTGGGGAAGGGGGCGAGAGGGGTGTGGCGATACGGGGAATGCTTTCTTCCTCTCTCTCTTTCTTCTCTGTCTCTCTCTAGCAAGCACACTCTATGGTATCTTGAAAACAAAAACACTGTCTCCTGGGATATGTTTGGGCGAGGCTTACACAGGAAGTAGTTCCGCCTGACTCTGAGTGAGTGCAGATGCAAGGCTGAAACGTCTGCTCACTGTCACCTCGAGCCGTCCATCGTCCATCGTTGAGCTGGCCCATTCAGACTGGTCGGTCTGGTATAGCCAGCATCCAGCCCCTTCCTGGTGACGGTCACCATGGGTCACTCAGCCCCGGCAGCAGCCAGCACGTCCCGGCCGTCCAGACAGGCTCTGCACGGAGGGAGCCTGAGCGGCCCGTCCACAGGGCCGACGGAGGCACTGACCGCATGGTCCCCTGGAGCCCTCCGGAGCCTGTCTGGTGTCCTCACAGCACTGGGCGAGTCCCAGGAGGTGAAGGGAGCTACAGCCCTCCGCATGCACAGGCAGGTTCAGGAGCCACCGCTGCCTCCCCGCCGGCCCACAGGTGGGGCATGCCACGTCCCAGGAGGAGAGTCAGCCCACATTTCACTTCTGGCGGGGGGACAACAAGGTCACATCCCAGAAGACTGAAGTGTCGTGCGAAAGACTTGTCTCTACTGCCTGGGACACACGTCAGCCACAGCCAGGGTGTGCTGTAACCCAGGGGGCCACAAAGACCAGAACGCTGAGCAAAGAGCTGGGGAGGAGCCGTGCCTGGGCCACACTACAGAAGGCCGTTCAGACTGAGGTCACTCCCTGCGAAGGAACAGGCCTGGCGGGCTCCGGGCATGGGAGGAGGCCACTGCCACCGAGGGAGGAAGTGAGGGAAGGTGCGGAGGTGAAGCGGGCCGGCCCTGGGCTCACAGGCACCTGGAGGCAGGGAGGAGTGTGAGGGCACGCAGGGGGCATCTGCCACGGCCAGTGCACACGGGCCAGAACAGGCGGTCAGAGGGAGCCACGTCCCTCCCGGCCCTTCCTGGTGGCCGTGATGACGTTAGACGCCCGGAAATGCCCTGGTTGGTGACGGCCACTCCATGACTATGCCCTGCGCCCACCCCACAGCGTACACGCCGTCGCCATCGTCCACCACTGTGGGATCCCGTTTCCATCGGGCCCCGGCCCCGGCCCCACAAGCCCCTCGCCCGCTCTCAGCTCATGCGTGCCTCTCACTTCCCACATGCGTGCACGACAGGCCTGGCCCGTTCCTGACAGGCAGCTCTCAGACAGCAGCTCTGGCAGGGCTCCCGCACCACCCGGCAGCTCGTCCTCCAGGTCCTGTCAGACAGCTCCGTCCTAGGCGTTAAAGCAGCCTGTCTCCGGGAGCGGACGTGGTGTAAGGGTGATGTCGCTGGGCTCCCACATGGCCGACCACGGTTTGAGTCCCAGACCTGAGACTTGAAGTCCACGGGGCATGTGTGCGTGTATGTGTGCGCCTAAAATCCCAGGAGGAGACGGGATTGTGGTGCAGCCATCCCCCGGTGGGTGATTTCTCACCTCCCCTGTCTCTCTCTACGCCCCCCTCTCACCCTGCGCACCCTAACGCGAAGACCTCCTTTTAAAAAGCAGCACATGGGGCCAGCTGGTGCAGGACTCCCACATGGCCGACTGCAGTTTGAGTCCTGGACCTGGCGGCTTGCTTTCTCTCTCTGTCTCTGTTGCTCTCTGCTCAAATTAAAACTAATCAATGAAGTTAAATAATTCTTTTAAAAATATATATATATATTTCTAAGAAAGGCTCTTCCCCTGCACCCCAGCCTGGACCGCTACTCCCCACACTGAAGCCGAGCTCGGCTCTGACCCGGCGTGGCCCTTCTTTCCAGGGGAACTCTTCAAAGCAGAGCACATCCTGAGCAGCCTGGTAACCAGCGTCAGAGCTCCAGGTATGCGGCCCCCGCCCCTGCAGCTCCAGGTACGCGCGGCCCCCGCCCCTGCAGCTCCAGGTACGTGGCCCCTGGGCCCTGTAGCTCCAGGTATGTGCTGCCCCCAGGCCCTGCAGCTCCAGGTACACGGCCCCTGGGCCCTGCAGCTCCAGGTACGTGCGGCCCCAGGGCCCTGCAGCTCCAGTGCAGCCCCAGCCCCTGCAGCTCCAGCGCGGCCCCTGGCCCCCTGTCCTGCTTGACCTGTGGCAGAGACCGCTTGCCTGGGTCTCCTGAGTCTCTGCTTTCTCTCGTTAAAGAAACCACCCCCTTCACTCCAGTCGGACCAGCTGGGATCCCTGACAGTGGCCCACCTGGGGAGGGTCTCAGCTCTCCTCTGGAGGCCAGAGCCTCCTCTGACCTGCCGGAGTCCGGGCTGGCTGCGGCTGGGCAGACCGTGGCGTCAGGGCCCTGTTGGGAGTGTGCTTCTCTGCGAGGAGAGATAAATGAATAAATAAGAGACCCCCGGCCCGAGTGACACCCTGCACCCGCCGTCCCCTCTTGGTTTGCGAGTGGAGTTGCCCATTTCAGCATCCAGGGACTCGGGGGGCTGGGGTTCATCCTGCCCTCGCCAGGCAACTGGAGACAGCAGGGCCCTGCGCCTGGCTGGCTACGGAGAGAAGGGTGGGTTCCGGAGGAGCCAGAGACGAGAGCCCCCAGGCATGGGGGACAGCAAGAGCAGATGCCAGGAGCAAGGACAGGACTGGGGCCAGAGCACCAGGGGCCAGAGCCGGCAGAGCAGAGCCCGCAGGCAGAGCTGGGCCGCAGCGCCAGGTCCTGCAGCGCCTTGCAGGCTCCGCCCGGACACAGCGTCAAGATGGTCTCCAGTCTCAGCCGTGGGTGTTGTCAGCTACCCCGTGAAAACAGTCCCCCCACCTGTCCCTCCAATGCTCTCCCGTTTCAGGTACCTGGCTGTACAGGACGGACAGCGACAAGGGCCTGGTGCAGGCAGTCTGCATGCAGATCCGAGGGCAGATTCTGCAGAAGCTGGGTGCGTGGGTGCCACCTCACACTGGCTGCGGGTGTCCTGTGGTGGTGTCCCCTGCACCCCAGCCAGGGCAGGCGTTTTAGCTGTGGGCACAGAGGGCAGAGGCTGCTCTGATGCCTTCTCTTTCTTTCCAGGGATGTGGGATGGGGCAGCAGAGCTGCTCTGGGCGTCCACCGTGGGCTACTTGGCCCTGCCCCTGCCAGATAAGAAGGTCATCTGGCGCTTCTCCGTCTTCACCCCCCTTGTCTGTGGGGACACCCCGGCGCGGCCCGGTCGGCGTTGTCAGTGGCATTGCACTCCGTTGGCCCTGGTTGTGTCTCCCCTGCCTGGGCACGGGACCAGAGGCATCTACCCTCCCGGGTCGCGCTCCACCCTCGCCCCCGGATAGACGCTGGGCCGCGCAGGGGTCCTGTCTGTGCGTGACTGCCCGCCACCCGCGTGTCTGCCTGTCTGCCGAATCACACATTCAGCCCTCCTGGCTTCACACCAAGTTGGTTTCGCTGAGTGCTGATATGTGAAGTCGTTTTCCTTGCGTCAGGCCGGCCAGGATGCCCACTGACTGGGTAGTGCCTACTCGGAACGAGGAACGCCCTTTGCCCTCCCGCCTGACCTTCGCTCTCTGGCCAGGGCACAGCGCTCCTGTCCCGGGCAGCGGGCTGTGATACCGCCCTGAGCTGGGTCAGCCCCTGCGGCCCACCGGCTCCCACTCAGGCGGACTGCGCTGTAAGGACGCCCCCGCGGCCCAGCACCCCTCAGTGCCCACAGCCCAACACCAGCTGAGGGCCATGTGGTGGCCACGCCTGTGCCTCCCACCCCCAGCCTCAGATGGACAGGTGTCCCCAGCCCCACGGTGACAAAGAGAGAGACGCCAGGAGCAAGTAGTTCAGGTGGGGGCGGTCCCTGGGGGAGCAGTGACTGACCGCGACATCCTGTCTGTTCTGTGTCCCTGCAGGGCCTCTCCACGTCACTGGGCATCCTGGCCGACATCTTTGTTTCCATGAGCGAGAAAGAGTATCAGAGGTTTAAAAGCAACCCGCAGATTAACCTGGTAACTGCCCACGCCGAGCACGCCTGCTGAGTGGCGTCCCTGGAGAGCTGTCGGGGTGCTCTTGGCGTTGAGTCTCAGCCAGCATCGCCCCCGCCCCCCAAACAGCACAGATTCGGTGGCTCGGGGCTCTCACAGGGAGGTGAAGGGTGATGAGGTGGCACTGTGTCACCACCTGTCTGCAATGGCACCACTCGCCCGCCCCAGGCTCTCCTGAGCAGTAACACTCACCTCTTACTCTGCAGCTCAGATGTAGGTGCTGGGGGACTTCAGGAAGCTAACGCAAACATGGGCATTAAATATATTTTGGTGCAAAAAATAAATTTAAGTTTGTACATAGTTTTCCCGTAATAAGCATTTTCCATGAACTTCCTGAAGGCCCCTTGTGTGCCTACATAAACTCTCCAAGGTAGGCAGAGGTAGATGGGACCCCCCAGTACACAGAGGAAGCTGAGGTCCAGAGACACGGGCAGCCCCTGCAGTTCACAAGCCGAGAGAGCTGGGAGGAGAACCTGGCCCTGGCGAGACAGGGGATCCTGCACGGCCCTGGCGCGCGGCTGCCGGGTCGCTGTCTGCCGGGTTGCTGTCTGTGCTGCCGTTTTGACAGTCGCTCACTCACAGTGCTGACCACCTCCCTCCCGCTGAGTGTGGGAGAGGGTGCTCTCACAGTGGGGCCGCCCAGGCTCCCCGCCCTGCACCTGCCCTCACACCCCGCCATCTCAAATACTGTGCGTTCCCCTGACTTTGTACTGGCTGACCCATCCCCAGCAGAAAGCCAGCCCCATGCTCCGCGGCCCGCTGCCTCCCAGAGTCCACCCGGCGTGGGCCTGGCACGTGGAGGCACTCGGTACACAGTCCTAGAAGGAATGAATGAGTCCTAATTGCTGTGAAACCATGAATTAAAAGGCTCTTGACCAAGGACAATACAGAAATCAATTACTTTGGCTGCAAAAAGTGCAGGGTTCCGGTGCACGCCGGCCGCCCCTGCCCTTCAGAGCAGCTCCTCCGAGTCGCCGGCACAGGGGCATCACCGTGTGTCCCTGGGAGACCCTCTGTCTGGGGGTCAGAGTCGGCCACCTGTGGGCTCCAGGCCCTCCTCTTTCTTGGCACTGTCTTGAGTGGGTTTTGTGAAAATCAAGGGGTCCCTCGAAATTGGAAAAGAAAAGCACAGATGTCACAGCCTGCTTTTTGCTAATGTCACCGCTCCTCCCTGCCCCTCTCAGGGCCTGCTGACCGAGTCTGTCCACCGTCTACTGGCGGCTGCAGAGGCCTGCAAGCTGGCAGCTGCGCTGAGCGCGTACACGCCCCTGTTCGTGCTCTCGGCCCTGGTGAGTCAGTGCCGCCTCGCGGCTCCCGTCCCAGTGCTCTCTGTAACCAGCAGGAGGGAAAGGCCATGTCCTTGGGCTTCGTGCACCTGCTGGCCCTGCATGCAGGGTTCCTGCTCTCTGAAGGGTGGCACCCTGCTGGTACAGCCACAGCGTACACTCTCATCTCTGGGGCGGCGGCGCCAAGTCCAGAACCACCCAGGAGCCTTTGCAAAAGATCTCTTCCTGGCCTCTACCCCAGATCCACTAAATGCAAACCTTTGGGATCGGTACCGAGAAATCTTCCATTTTAAAATATTGCCAGGTCATGTTATTGCTCAGGTGGAATTCCTTTTCCTGTCAGAGGGCACGTGCACTCACCAGAGAGACAGAAGGGAGAGAGGGAAGCGGCCCGGCAGGGCGAGGTCTCCCCAGGGCCCTTGTCCTCCATCTCTGTACTCTGGCTGGATTTCGGGCACACGCCCACATGCCTGGGGCGTTTTCTAAGCCACTGGGCCAGGATTTGAACCACTGTCTGCTGCGTGGGATCCAGCCTCCTTAACCATGAAGCTGTGGGCCAGCCCAACTACCCTCCTGTTTTAAGTGTATCGAAATGATGCATTTACGTACAGCAACCTTATCTGTGTAGGGA